GAATATATTACAAGAATGAAATGAAATAGTATGAATCAGAGATGGACAAAAGCGCACCGCGCCTCCCCGCGCCACTGCTCGCGCCTAGGCGTTAAGCACATCTCTCTTTCTCTTTGCTCTACCAATCAGTTTCTCAAACTCCACCGAATACCGGAATGCTCTAAGTATGCGCTCATCGAAACTCAGACTAGTGTAGCGTAGGCGTGCGCAGCGGCGCGGAGAAGCGCGGGGAGGCGCGGTGCGATTTTGTCCATCTCTGGTATGAATGCAAGGCAGCTATGCGACTGCTCCTAGGCCAAGAAGCCAAGAGAATGGCGTGAAGAAAAACTGGTCAATACTTTGTTTTTCGTATTCATTACGAAACAAAAACTCTTAGAAATAAGACTTTTGTATAAGAATTAAAGAAGTTAATTTTCATCCTCCCAGAAAATGTCATTTATTCTGCATAAATTTTATAAAAGTATTTTATTTACTTATGAATAAGAATATCAAGTATTCCAGCTGCTTTTAATTCTAAATAAGCAGAATCAAATTCTGTAATATTTGTAATCATTGATTCTAAACATTCCATTTTAAAATCTCCATACAATTTTTTCAAGCCAAACATTAATTTATTCATAATACTAAAATAATAATAAAAAATTTTTGTTTTGTTTTCAATCAAAATAAAATTTCATACGTTTTATCAACAATTTCAGGATAATGTTTTTGTAATGAATAAATACATGTTACATATGTATCTTGTATAGCTTGACTACTATGCTATTTTATTATATAAATTGTTTGTTCTAATAAACGTTCATTTGAATGTCCTTTTAATTTTTTAACATTTAATAACATTCCAACAACTTCTGCAGCTGCTGCATAAATATTTCGAAAAGAATTTTTCATATTTTTTAATAATGCTTCATTAAATTTATCTTCAGTTAAATCCTTTATATCATTATAAGGTAATATATTATTAGCTAATAATATACCAATTAATGATAAACCTATTGCATTTTGTTTTGATTTAATATCTTGATCAGATATTAATTTATATATAATTAATGTTGGTGTATATATACGTTCATTCCATGATTCAATTAATTTTTTAATTAAATCTAAATTTGATTTCATAACAAGTGAATTTTTATGTGTACAATTAAGAAATAAATATTCTAAAAGACGTTGTACTGATGTTCTATCAAGTTCACTTGGTATAGCTATGGAATTCCATGATAATAATATAACAATTGTATCAATAAGAAATGTATTTAAACCTTCTGAAGATTTTTCAAACATTTGATTACACATATGAATTATTGGTGTTAACCAATAACGTGCAAATGGTTTAAATATTGTATGTGTATGTATAATAAGACGCATTAGAAATAATTTTATATTAAATCCTATTGTTGTATCACTAAATTTTTTATATAAACAAATCATCCAAGGTGGCATATCAGATTGAATT